GGAATAAAGAGAATGTTTGGTGAATTTTATCAAGGGGAAAGACATTATTGTCCTTCTTCCTAATTGATTTGGCAGCCCCGTTAGCAGCACATTACATACGTGACTACCAAACAGCAGTGATTGGTTAAATGATAAAAAGTACCAGTCTACCGTCGAGCAAACGAATTCTAACACTGCGAGGTCAGACAGTTTCTATGAAGTGAAACCGGCTGATGAATCAGGCTAGGGGTTTATGTTGTTCATGCTCAGAGCACTACAAAAGCTTGTTTAAATAAAAAAATCTGCACTGGGCCAAATCAAGACCAGTTAGTGTTCACGTCACAAGCGAACCTCAGTGGAACGATAGTCCGCACCAAATGAAACTAACCGAACCGAACCCTCAGGTGTTACGAACTCGAGTTCGCTTGAAGAGGACTAAATGGAGCAACCAACAGTTCCTCATATGTTCATTTGTTTTGTTTTATTTTATGGCAGCCTTAAACTCCATCCACCGCAATCTCCCACGTTATTGCAGGTCTGAACACACTATGAATACACACAAAAACATTCTCAAACATCGACTTCAGAAACAGGGTGAAGGTTGCCGGTTGTGTTCTGTAAATATGGCTGTAGCAACCTCAACTGGGGGTAATGGACACTTTGAGCAAGGCATTAGTCCCATTGGAGGAGTCCTCTTTCTCCCCCAGAAAAAACTAAAACAAAAAAACTAAACCAAAACAAAGGGAATCGAACCATCAACCACAACAAGGACATGGTCTGACTCCAGTGCACATGCTGTCCACGTGACACCACTTAAAACAACCAACAAAAGCAAGGAAATGAAAGATAGAAAATGTAAAAATACCCTGCAATTACCAGTACAATTGTAGAAACAACAGCAACATGATAAGAATAAGATAATGAGATACCAATATTCAAGGTTTTACAATCTCAAGAGAACCCAAAACCATTTACAGACATGTATGTGCTTCTTGTAAAATACACACTGCAAAAAAGGTTTCTAGATTCACTTACTATATTTGAATTTAGAATTGTAATCTTAGTTTGAGTAGTAGTAGTAGCAGTAGTAGTATTTGTAGTAGGAGTCATAGTAGTAGGTAAATAGTGGTAGCAGCAGTCGCACTATTTGTAATCATAGTATTATTAGTAGTAGCACTAGTACCAGTAGTAGTATTAGCAGTAGTAGTTTAGCAGCATAAGTAGTAGTCATAGAAGCAGTTGTAGTAGTAGCAGTAGTAGTAGTAATAGCAGTAGTAGCAACAGTAGTAGTAGTAGTGGTAGTAGTAGCACTGATAGAATTAACACTAGCAGTAGTCAAAATACTTATTTACTTAAAGGTAGGGGTGTAACGATATCCAAATGCCTCGCTACGGTATTATCACGATGTGCATCTCTCGGTACGGTATTTATTGTGATATTTTGGATATTTTGGAGAGGCTAGTTGTAGATAATACACTTTTTTGCTTTTAAAATACCTTGACAATATTTTGGTGTGAATTATTTAATAATAACATAATCCCAAGTAAAATACATATCTCTATATGTTGTTTGCACTGAAATGAATCATGGGATATGTAGTTTCCGAAGTTCATAAGATGTTGCTACTATAAAACCATGTATTTAAGCCAGGGGTGTCCAAACTTTCATCATCAAACACAGATGAAGCAGAGAGCTGATCGAGGGCCGTAGACTGGTGCTCAATACAGTGAATAATTCAAATATGTGCATGTTTAACATATTAGAATGAGCCCTCAGTCTTTATTCAAGCTAAAATCCTTAAAATCGCACACTAAATATTAAATATTAGCTGTATCAAGGTAGATTTAAAAAAAAAAAAAAAACAACCTTCAGTAAAAAGTTAATTTTTAATTGATGCAAGGTAATTTGGGCCAATTCATCTGGAAGCCTGAGGGCTAAGAAACATTTGCCTGAGGGCCACATTTGGCCCATGGGCCATAGTTTGGACATGTCTGATTTAAGCAAAGGAACTTGTAAGTTGATATATATTGTAACAGCCCACGATATTATTGTGAGACTTTTGACGATATGATATCACAATATTTCGGTTATTGTTACGTCCCAACTAAAAGGTCCAACATGATTTTACTTAATGTTAAATCATTTACACTTTCTTATTTTTTTCTATATCTTGAAATTATCATATCTTAATAAGACATGCTAAACACCTAAAATCACAGAGGACCATTTAAGGACCTGCACGTGTTGTGTTTTCATGTTTTGAAGTCGGTAAAAATCAAACACAGAGCCAAAACTACTCAAATAAAGATTAAAATCCTGAATTCAAATAATGCACTTTAACAGTTTTTAATTTCTAGATCGTCCTTTTGTGCAGTGTATTCATTATTCTAGTAGTTGAAATAGTATATATCTAGTTAAGTTAGCGCTGAAGACTGAAAAAGTTCCCCCACATGTACATTTCGAGTATGCAGTCCTTTGATATGTTCAACACTAACCATTGGTCCATTATAAAGTCGGACTATTACTGTACACTATAATGTGCTCTCTGTCTCTAATCTCTAGTTGGGTATGCTCCATGGTTTGGGGTAAGTTTGTGAATGAAAGTGTAGCTCCGCCCCCTGAGTGTAAACTGAATTGCCCCGTTCCCGTCGCCCGCGGTAACAGCCCTTTGTGGAGCACTCGCTGTGGACCGTCCCGTGAGCCTTTGGGACCAGAACACATTATCACAAAAACTGACGTAACGTTTATAGTGGAGGGTCCCATACCTGCTTGTCTCCATGGAAACATTATTGCTTTGTCTGGAATGTTCCACAGTATAGATTTAACCTATCACGAGGGAGACGATTACAGTTCAGATCTGTGGAGAGTCGCCCCTGTTCACAGAAGGGATCATTGTATTTTTGAGCAATAGAAACGCCTGTAATTCATGAATGACAGATGGAAATGTTTAAATTCATACTATGGAACATTCCAGGCAAAGCAATAACATGTCTTTGGAGACAAGCAGGTAGCGGATCGTCCACCAGAAAAGTTGCGCAGTATACCTTTAAGGTTTTAACAGTGTCGTAACATACATACGTACATGGAGCTGTATTTTTAGTTTTCAGTTTCAGTCTAGTTTAGTTTGCCTCAGAAAATACTTGCTGTTTTTAAATCCATGAATCATCACTGGACTCGTTCTAACCATTTCTGCCGTCAAATCACGCTCATTACAACTGCATGTTTAGGTTAATATAATGGGGCATGTCGCTTAATAGCTAGTTAATTTTTTTCCTCATGGTAATTCCCTCTGTTGCCTGAAGATGGCGAGCTCACACCAGATTCCCGTATAGGTAACAATGAAGATGGAAAAAGCTGTGTGGTCGTTATTTTAAGTTATAAACCAGGAAATGCCACAGCAAAGGTACTCAAGAGCAAGTTAATAGGCGAATGGCAGTACAAATATATAATACGATTAGTCTTAGGTATGATAGTGCACCTGCTTGAAGGCACAAGGACTCCCCCTGCTGGTGCGCTGTAGAGTGAAGCAGTAGCTAGATAGACTTGATGTTGGTTAGTTTGTAGTGAGGTCAGTTTCCGCTCTGAAATGATCAGTGAGTTTGATATGGGTCTTTAAATGGGGCTTCCGGAAAGTCAATACGTCACCAAAATTAGTCGGTAAATCCAATATATTATCTTTATCTTTAGACACAATGCAATCCAGGCACTCCTAAGAAGTAAACATCGCACGAAGAAAAGTACTGTTAAAAGGCCTTTATTTAAATGGCCAAAGCCAACATGTTTCGACTATGACTGGACTTGAAGACTGGTCTTGAACTTCTTTGGAGTACTTGGATTTTGTTGTGTCTAAAGTTTTGATCCTTATTTCAAGAGCACCGTCTACCTGTTCTCACTGTGGCAGCAATGTGGCAATAAACAGCCACATTTTTGTTTTTTCTGTACTTAATATCTTTATTTTCTAACAATTTTTGATGGTTCTTTTCTTTGGCATTTTCAGTCAGATTACAATTACCGTTCAATTGCCAACAAATACAGAAGATGAGCTCGAGATTTAGGCAGGACTGGTCAGAAGTTGTATGTTTGTAATTATAGATTTCTATGTCTATGCTGCAGGTACCACAGGCTCAAAGGACAGTCACAGTCTGAGTGTTTATCCACACATTTCCCTTATAAGGATTCCTTTACAAACAGCAAGTCAGTCACCAGAAACTTTCTGTTTTTATTACAATATCGTCAAACTTTAGTTTTAGTCTAGTCGTAATTAGAAAAATGTTAATCAAATTTAGTAATCAGTCAACAAAAGCTATTCAGTTAAACTGTCGCTCTAGTTCTGGATCTTCTTCTACATGTTCAAAACATCAGATTCATTCGTATATTTGTTTATAGTCTGGGACAGGGCTCTACAAAAGGGCTTTCATTCAAACTATTTCACTAGGAGCTTAAATCTCAATACCAGTCAAAAGTTTGGACACACCATTTCATTCAGTGTTGTTTTTCTTTATGTTTACTGCTTTCTACATTTTATATACAGTACATAAGGAAGACATCAAATATATGAAGCAAGATATGTGGAATTAGGAAGAATTATACAAGGAGCTCAAGGAGCCACCCTTTGCTTTGACAGAACTACAAACCTTTCTCTCAATGAGTTTTACAATGACGTGTCCTGAAATGGTTTTCACCTCAAGGTCTGCCATGTCAGGGTCAAGGAATACCAACTGTCTAAAGCAATGATAAAAGAAAAAGGTAGCTCTCTCCCAAAATTTAAAACAAATCATTTTGAGATAATTTTTTGTTTACTACATTCCACATGTGTTCATCCATAGTTTCGATGCCTTCAGTGAAAATCTACAACGTAAATAATCATGGAAATAAACAAGTGTGTTCAAACTTTCGACAGGTTGCGTAGTTCAAGTTTTGGATGCCATTAATTCATATAAAACTCCAAACTATGGCTTTCTTTGTTATTCTTTCTCTATATCTAACCTCTAGTCCCTGGTGACTGCCTTGACCCCTCCCCTTCACACTGGGGTGGTCTTCCTGTTGAGCGTATCCGAGTTGCTGTCGCGATCCCGTTTGGCCGTGAGCCGATCCAGCGTTCCGACGTTGCCGCGGTCTCGCTCCATGGTCGCCGTGGAAACCGGGGGCTGCTGGGTGGTCCCGGACGTCGCCGTGGACGTGTTGAGCGGCGCCGTGTTCTGAGCCGCTGCCGTCGCTAGGTTTGACTTGGAATGGGAAGGAAGAGTCCCGCTGTTTATGGCTCCTCCCCCTCCTCCTCCCCCAGCGCTGCCTCCGGTCGAATCTTTGGGGAAGTAGTTGTGGAGTTGGTACAGCGTCGCCCTGTCCACCGTGCCGTAAAGCGGGGGAGCGCCCAGTTTGGAGTCCCGAGATAAGGTATACATGGAAATATCGCCTCCGCTTCCTGCGCTGGAGCTGTGGTGCGGATTGGGAAGGGTCGCGACTGAAAATGGCGGTGCGGAAGGAGGCAGGTTGAAAGATTTCGAAGCTCCAATCGGCGAATTTTCTTGGGAACGTGGAGGATCTGTAGAGCGGGAGCTGGATCGGGAACGCCGTCTGAACCGGTAGCTGGGGAGGCGGAGGACGGCGTGGGTGGTGCTTTTGAACAGGTCCGTGCGAGATCGGCAGCGAAGTTCCTTGTTCTTCTCGATGTAAATGTTGACGGCTAACACTCCAACCATCTCAGCCAGGATGAAGGAGAGACCACCGAAGTAGAAGGACCAGCCGTAAGAGTAGTGCCACTTTTTGTCCTCATCTTTTTTGGGAGAAATGTCACTCAGGGCGGCAGAGATGTACACGATCACACCGATGATGTTACTCAGACCTGGAGTAAAAACAAACCCAAAAGATACATTAAATATGTAGTTTAGAGACAGCCTGAACAATATTGATGCTTTGCAGTTGATGTTATGAACATTTCCTGGGCATGTAAAACTAACAGAAAGCATGACTCGAGATCTTAAGTTAGACTTAAACTGAGCTTTATTTTAACACAGTCTGAACAGAAAGGACTAACTTGGTTGGAACTACAACAAGTGAGATGATTTGTGCTGTTAAACAAGTCTCTCACACATAAAATTACAGCCAGTTAGTCACCCACAACAGGACTGTGAATGTCGTTTTGGCTGTGTGCATGTGTGCAGAACATTTTTATTTATTTATTTTATTATTTTATTTGAACTTTAACCAGGATAGTCCCGCCGAGATTAAGAATCTCTTTTTTCAGGTGAGTCCTGGTCACAAAGGGGATCCTATTGTCCATGTTTTTAGTGGCAGGGGAAACCAGAGCACCTGGAAGAACACCCGGAGAACATGCAAACTCCACACAGAACGGCCCTGCAATGCCCCAGAATCCTTCCCAGGACCTTCTTGCTCTGAGATGAGAGCGCTAACCAAAGAGATACATGTAGAACACCCCCAGTATGATGCCATTACAAAGTATGAATAGTATTCATTTGTGTCCAAAGCAGTGATCTGAACACAGGGCTACAAAATCTATTGAGTGAAAAATACCGTATTGAACTGTCACATTTAGAAGAGGCTGGATTTACTATACTTAGGTAATATAATGTCTTCTGCAAAAACTCTGTGTGAGATTTGAGTTTTTAATATATGTGCTATGAAATCTTGAATTTAAATGATAAAATCACAATATATACATATATATCTTCAAAATGATCCACCTTACCTCATGCACATTTCTATTATTACTATATCAATAAAAGTAGCTAAATTTATCAAGGTATTTATTCATTAATTTATTATTTAAGTTTTTTATTTTCAAATCTAGATACCTGCTTCAATCTCAAGATATATATGTATATATATACATATATATACATACATACTATATATATATATATATATATATATATATATATATATATATATATATATATATATATATATATATATATATGACAGAATAAATGAATAATCTTCATGCTACCTGCAGCCACAAACAGGATCCCTCCTCCCAGGATGATGTTTCTTTTACTTTTGTAAAATCCACTGGAGGCGACGCACACTCCCCCCAACAGCAGCAAGATGGCACTAAGGATGGGGAAGATACTGGACGCCCGCACCACTCCTGCACAAACAAACAAACAAATACAGAAAATTAAGGTAATAATATTGATAATAGGAGGCAATTTATGTCCGTTTCACAATGTGTAGAATGTGTATTTAAGTGTCAAACAATTGTGACTGTAGTAATACCTAATGAAGTGAATAATTTTAAATTCTTATTATTTTTAAGTTTACAGTTATTTTTCCAACAATTTTAAATACTTTGCAAACAAAAACTCCTCAAAATGAAACTGAAACCCACAAATAGTTTATATTCACATTTAGCATCTTAAAAACAACACTCACAATGCTACATGATAAATGATCACAAGGAATCTCTCACTCATTCACACACACATTCATACACCATTGTACTCAGACACGGGGGGCAAGGGGGGGTTTAGTGACTTGCCCAAGGACACAATGACAGCATTCATCGTGGGAACTGGTACGTGCCAACAATGTAATTTCTATTTGGGCAATGTGTCACCTCTAAATAGTCTCTGGTGTTGTATGAGCTTCATAGTTTCAATGTGGTCCAGATTTCTGAAGGTGCAAAGTTCCACAAACAGGGTTACCAAGACTTCCAGGACGTGAATCTATTTTTGAAGCAAATATTTTTAATGTCCACCACTGACTCATAGTGTGTTACGATATGAACCTGTAGGGGGCGACACCCATCAAGTACAAATTACAAATAAACCCAAAGAACAACAGCTACTTTTTTGATGATAGTTCAAACTAGTCCAGAATCAGGTTAGGTTTAGGTTCCGGGTTTAGGTTAGTTGACATGTTGGTGTTTTTCGTAGCAACAAAAGTTCGTGACCGTTTGACACTGGAGGTTTTTCACACATTACCATGACAACCAGCAGGGAAAGCAAAATAGCAAAGTGATGCGTTAGACAGTTCTCTAGACACTAGCTTCCTTAAAATCTCTCCTCTATCTGCTGCAGAGCGTTCACTGCACAGTTCAAACGCGATGAAGAGGAGTGAAGGTGACTCGAAGTCCGCTGATGCTGTGATAAGCTTTGTACTGTCACACACAAGGACGACTGTGGTGTTTCTCTGAACAGATTCAGAGATATGGGTGTAGATTTTTAGAGGTGCACTGAAGGGTCCGCCACCTGTTTGTCTCCATGGAAACGATTCTGCTTTGTCTACAGTGTTCCACAGTGTTGATTAAACTTACAGTATCGATCACAAGGAATACAAGCAGGTAACAGCACTACGCTACAGTACAATTCAGATCTGTGGAGAGGCGCCCCTATTCACAGAAGGAATTATGGTATTTTTGAGCAACAGAGACGCCTGTAATCGGGGTGTAGTGCACGTGGTCGAGAGGGTACGCTGTCCACCCACTTCTCCCAATGTGAGATATAAAAAATGAACAAATATAAAATAGCTACAACTTAAATGTCAAACCAGAGCTATTGGCCTTAGTTTAGTTTAGTTTGACAATGATGGAAACAATCTGAATAGGTTCATGATATCTGCAGTACTGTCCTACCGGAAACATGAGGGACTAGGACTGAACAAGGACTGAACCAGGACTAAACCAAAACTGAGTGTCAGGATGGGCCTGGAGGTGCGCCCGCGTAGACCTTTGGATGACCACAGAAGAAAGGACCGGCTCAGAGCTCCACGCCTCACGGGGCTAATAAGTGCAGCCGTCACCCGGCTTTGCGACACCCTGCTCCACGGGATCGAGGTTCTCTCTCAAGTCCAAGATTAGTCCTGGTTTAGACCTAGTTTAGTCCTGGTTTAGACCTGGTTTAGACTTGGTTCAGTCCTGGTTTAGACCTGGTTTAGTCCTGGTTTAGTCCTGGTTTAGACCTGGTTAAGACCTGGTTCAGTCCTGGTTTAGTCCTGGTTTAGTCCTGGTTCAGACCTGGTTTAGACCTGGTTTAGTCCTGGTTTAGTCCTGCTTTAGACCTGGTTTAGACCTGGTTTAGACCTGGTTTAATCCTGGTTTAGTCCTGCTTTAGTCCTGGTTTAGACGTGGTTTAATCCTGGTTCAGACCTGGTTTAGTCCTGGGCATGTGTTGTAGCCTATAAGTTATGTTCTGTAGGTGATTATGAACGGCAATAATATTAATTAACATGATGCTGTATCATTTTGAGTTAAAAAAACAAACAAAAAAAAACCATCAAATATTAATGATTTTTACTCGGCTGGCATACTTATGTGGAAGGGGGGTCGTGTATTTTGCAGATTTTACTGGAAGATTAATTGACCAAGAAATGATTGCGATAAACACTACTATTAACATTTTGAACCATTTTCAACTAATATAATGACAATGGAATAAAAATGCAAATACACCCTTTCAAAGAGCATTAAACTTGACTTTCTAAATAACATTTAACACAGGAACTGCAAGACAAACAAAAACAACAAGCCTAAAGAAAATAAACTTGTTAACATAAGAATAGCCTAATGTAGTCTGTCTTACAGCAAGAGCTTGTTAACAAAAAATACACTTGAATTAAACATTGTTGAACCAAACACAACCAAACGCACAGGTTAAGTGGTTCGCCCCGTTCATTTGGTTGGAATCCAAAGTGGTCCCACACTGCAGCTTTCGTGTTTGGCTTTGAAACTAATTCCATCTGTTTTCGAATCTCATCTAGCTTATGACTTTCTACTCCTCGCACTGCTCTCTACTCAGAGGTGGTACGAGACCATGCAACTGGCAAGCATACTTTTTATATATCAGGGGTCATTAAAGTAAGCCAACTTCAGCCCACCATGCCCCTTTGCCCACCACCTTAACTGGCCCTAGGAGGCAGTCCTCAAACGTTGTTATGGCCTATTTTTTAAATTACTTTTTGGCAAATAATAGCACGTCTGCGTCTTGCATTTTGTAGTATGCTTTATTTTTTTAAAAAATTTATTATATATATGACATATTTACATTTGCCACCAAATGTTCATCACCTGACAAGCTCGAGATCAAACAGTGACAGTCAGTGCATGCGCAGAGTTCTGTAGTGCAATTAAGGACAGCAAAATGACCAGTGTTAAAGTATGAAAAATTGACAGAGGAGTTTTCAAAGAACAATGGACGACTGATTATTTTTTTGTTCAGTGTAAGAACCGTGCAGTTTGTCTGATATGTAAAGAAAGTGTGATGGTTTTCAAAGAATATAATCTGCATCGTCAGGGTCGTACAATTCTGTTATACGGCCGACCCGACCCTAACCCCGGTCACAGTCAGGAGCGATAATGTGGCCCCCAGAGAAAAAACTTTGGTGACCACTGGTATATATAAATGGACATAGCTAACGTGCTAGCCGCCGTGTTCCAAATAGGGAGTTGGCATCCTTCCTGCTCCTTCTGACGCTGGCTCCCATTGACTTACATTTACATTGGAATATTGTGACCCCTCTCTTTGTAACTGCAGCTGTGAGCCTCATCATTTTGGTCTTGAAGTATTCGTATTAACCCACTCTATATGATCCTATTTCGGTATTTTGTCCGTTTATGCTGGCAAGTAGCCTAACTGACAAGTTCGCTTAAACGTCATTACTCTAAGGAAACAAGAGGAGTCAGTAGAGAGCGACAGAAGCCTTTTGACATTCAGTTTTCTTTGGTAGAGAGAAACAAACGAGGAAAACAAACAAGCAGGCAAATAGAAATTATCGAGGCTAGAAAAGTTATCAAGCTCGTTAAAAGTTATGATGCGATTATTTGATTTATTGATTATTGATACAGGCCTAATACTATGGAAAATTCCAGGGACAGCAATAACATCTCCAAGGGGACAAGTAGGTAGTGGACCCACTACTAGAGAAGTTTCACAGTGCACCAAGTGAAGAACCAAATACCAAAGAGTAATAATAATAGCCGATCACGTGACTGTGGACTCGATCCGGACTCGGACGTTATGTGCCAATAAGGTATTGAATAAATAATATACATATATAACACACAGGACCCACGGCACACAACAGTTTTTCTGAAGCATGAGTTACCTGTGGTTCTGTGGCTCGTGTTCACACCTGTGATGGCGTCATCGCACATCACTGTTTGTTGCAAACAAAACAAACAGTGCTATTGCGCAATGGAGCTGGCGCTATTGGCAGTAAGGGTGCGTCCAGCGGCATGAAGTGTCTATTGAGTGGTGGGACCGATGTTGTGGCGCGCACTCTGCTGTGGGTTTGTGGATGTGGTAGTGGTGCGTGGGGGTGGGGGTGGCGGGGGAGAGAGGCTATGGGGCGTCTGTCATCTTGTTTTTATTTGGTAAGATTTTGTATTATTTGGATTTCATAGACGAGCCTAAATGTTTCAAATGTAATGCACAGACTTCCATATAATATCAAATATACAAACTGTAGATTGTGCAGAGTCGAGTCTCAGGTCTGATCTGATTCTGGTCTGGTTCCTGTTTTGTCCAGTTCATTAAATATACTAAGTTACACATTCCAAGACTATACTGTGAAAAGTTTCAACAATGATGGTTATTGCTTATTCTTTGCTCTTAGTTCATTTCATAATGTTTTACAGAAGTATCGGATCGGGACTCTGTATTGGCAGATACTCAAAATCAAAGGATTCTGACTCTGGGGCAAAAAAAATGTGATCAGGACATCTCTAGTAAATATACCTATTATTTGAGATGGGAGTAAAGTATGATAAAAAATTACTTAATTTCAGACTTGTACAGTAAACCTTTGCCAGCTGCTTGTCTCTACATGGATATAATATTGTTTTTACCTCAAATGTTCCACAGTATGGCTTTAAACATATCTATTTTCATGGAGACAAGCAGGTGACACGACCAGGTCAGATCTGTGGGAGGGCAGCCCCACTCTGGAATATTTCTGTACACATTTTGTGACAGAAAAGTCTGTGGTGCACTTGTTGGAAAGCAGAGTAGAGATTGCATAAAAGCCCATTAAAAGCCAATGATACTTTGGTGGAGAGCAGAGTACATGGGTGTTGACCTGCTCTCTGCTGTACCAGCTTTAGAAACACTCTGGGCTCCGGGCTTCTTTCACATTCTCATACAAACCTCTCCACAATGAAGACCGCAGACCGCACACCAGAGCCAACACACAAATACATTTATGTAACACCAAAGAGGAACACCGAGGAACACCAAGAGGACACAGAAATGTTCCACTTTGGTGCAAAATATGTGTGGGCTGGTTTGTCCGTGAGCAAGACACTTTTGACCTCTTGCTTGCAGACAGCGATGGAAAGAGAAATGAAAAAATTGTACTCAAGAAAAAGAACATTAACATGGCTCTGGTCAGATTAAGATGCGTAGTCCTCTGAATAGGGTTTCACACGTCAATATGAAAGGACTCTTGCTGACAGAGATCATAGGTTGTGATCTCTTTCAGCGAGAGTTTCAAACAAAGACTTCACTCGGTGTTGGTTTGTTTGGCCACACACTGCTGCCCCGCGATTGGTGATAAGCAAACTCTGCAGCTGGAGCAGAACAAGATGGATTCTCAAGAGTTTGTGAACTTACAAAAATCTCGAGAATTCATCTTTCTGCAGTGTTACAGGGCAGTAGCACGGCATACAATATACGCTATTAGCATAAGTACAAATACTGCTGCCAAATTTGTAAACGAGTATGCGAAAAGTACAAAAAATGAAAAAAATACTAGTCAACTACTCAAAGCAATAATTACTGTTTATGCATTTTTATAAGCCTTTTAGACCAGTCTTTTGCCCCATCCACACTAGTATGTATTCGAGTCGTTTTCGTTGTGGATACAGTGTTCGTCCACACTAATCCAATGGAAAACGGCTCCAGAGACGGAACGATCTGGTGCCATCAGCTCCCATGAATTCATCTGAGTACAGATCTGATCCGGCACTGTGTGGATGTAGGGCTATGCGCTGCAAAGTAATTTACCGCCAAAACGCTAAGAGGCTAGAATATATGTCCATTCATATAAAACAGGGGTGTCCAAACTTTTTTCATCAAAAGCCACATATCTAAACACAGATGAAGCAGAGGACCGATTGAGGACCGTAGACTGGTGCTCAATACAGTGAATAATTGAAATATGTACGTGTTTAACATGAATAGCATGAATAAACACTGATGGCGCATGCTAAGATCCTTAAAACCACACACTAAATATTAAATATTCGCTTTATCAAGGTAGATTTTAGAGCCAAGAAAAATTTGTCTGAGGGCCGCAATTGGCCCACGGGCCGTAGTTTGGACATGCCTGATATAAAAGGTCTATGTGTATGACCTGCAGTAGTATAATATCTGAAAAGTTTAACATGAACCATCTCCAACGTGATAGAAGCACAGAACAGACTCACCATCAGCAGAACACCCCTCTGTCACAGAAACAACACTCATATTCCACTGAGTCGTGTCCTTTAGTCCGACAGAAGCTGAACCGTATCAGCGCACAAGGAGCGAGCTGTTTTATGAACGCTCAGTTTATGCAAATTAGCCAATTGGTTTTAAGTTTCGTTTCTGTAAAACATAAACAAATATGCTCAAAGCTGTGTGGACAGGGAAGGCTTGTGGACACAGAAACGACGTGTCTGGATGCAGATCGTTTCCGATACAGTGATACGTTTCAGTGTAAACATGGTCTTTTATAAAAATGTCAAGTTAAATAAGTTCTATTGATTGGTTTGAGCTTCCTATTACACGAAACGTTCTGAGGATTTTTCTTGTCCAAAAGATGAAGAAGAAGTTTTGTTTTTGATTGTGCCAACACCCTACAGTGGCCAATGGGGCCAAACGCACTGCAAAGGCCCAATGCGTCTCAGTTAGTGGAAACAGCTTCCAGTACAGATACGATGCAAATTCACAAACTCAAACACAAGTTTAAACGAGGTACAAACAAAGAATGTGGTACACTGACAGCGCCCCCTGCAGGTTTGGAGCACTTCCGTTGTGGTGACTCTTTATGCAACATTTTTTATTTGCAGGTGTTTTCTTGGTTTTCATCTTTTTGTGCTTTGCGTTGTTTCTTTATTTGCAGCACATATGATGATGATACATTTGTCTTTGTTTCTTGTAGTGTTTTTTTTTTTATTCACACCACATTCTTTGCTTGTACCTCATTTAAACTTGTGTTTGAGTTTATGAATTTGCATCGCTTCTGTACTTGAAGCTGTTTTCTCTAACTGAAACGCATTGGGCTGTTGCAGTGCATTTGGCGACTGCCGGCCAACTGTCTCAACATTTCATCATTTTAAAACCCTATACATTAAACAATTTGGAGCCTCGACTTAAAACAATGGACTTACATCATAATATATTGCAGATAAGTCAAGTGCGATCCCATAAATAAATGTAATATGTCTTTCAAGATGTTCTGCTTTCATGTGAAACTCTAGACTCCAGCTCTGAGCCTCGATTATGAGAAACCTCCACAAATATGAGCCGAGCAGTAGCCTGGCCCGCCCACAACCTTCTGTCCTCCGAAGAAACATATCACCTCATGTCATGGCACTGTGTTAAGACTCATTTAATACTTGTGTTACTCCCCTTTAGAGTTTAGAGTAATACTTCGAAGACTTTTGCTCATTCAAAATTGCTCATAAAATCTAGTTCTGAATCGGTTATTGTCATGGCAACTGATGAAACTGAGGTATTCATAAATCTCACGTATATTTATGTTGATGCAGTTTTCACACAAATGAATTAATATGCATAAAAATACAAAACAAAATAGTGGCTTTTATTTACGCATATAAAACACTGCTTCACCAATTGACTAAACCTGGCCTTGCTTTTCCTTTAAAATCCAAACGGCATATGAATGAATCCTAGTTAAATTTTGTAATTGGTTACATAAATGCAGCTATGTAATAATTCACAATCAAATCAAAATCTGTATCGTTATTATGTAAGAGTCTTCGGTGGTGTTTTTGTGTGTGTAATGTGAGGCAGACAGCCAGGTTTGTGAGTGAGTCCAGCCCACGCTGCTATGACCAAGTCCTCACTCAGCCGATACAGAGACACACAGCTCCAGATAGAGTTTACAGAGGGAGTGCGCACCGATGAGTGGAACAGCGAAACAGATCATGCAAGACTACAACATCAGGTCCATTATCGGGGTTTAAAGGTGCACTATGTAACCTTTCTGCTGGCATGTATTCAATTACAGGTGTTTTTTGTTGCTAAATTGTTTGCAATATAGACCATACACAATCCAATGCAAGAAGAAGAAATGGTAGTGTCAAATATGAAAATGGTCAGTCAATCATGTCATATATCATCCATTTAAATGCACTCTCTTCCCACTGTCATCTGTCCATTTCAGTTTTACAGTTTATGTAACAGGACTTAGGTGGTTTCTGCACAGTTAAGTTTTGGCCATTTGTCCACATGGAGCAGGTGTTTCGGGTGGGTGAAAACGACAAAAAAGTGGAGAAATCTGAGAACCCCAGTGTTGCGTTATTGTGTGGACAAGCAAACTGTAGCTTTTGGAAAACAATGATGTCGTGACCATGTCATTGCCACATGACGAGAAGAGAACCCCACGCAACAGCCGGGAACAACCATAACAACAACCGTGGAGGAGATCTTTATCAAGCCCCGGAGTTTCAAAATAGCCATTGCAATCAAGTCAATGGGCTGAGCTCAATGGCACATGATTCCAGATTAGCCTTTAGCCTGACGAGGTACTTCCGGTGGATGTGGGCCGATTGAACATGTGCAGTAGTGCTCTTTCTCCCTGCAGGCACATGCGAGCGCACGCACGGAGCGCGGTCTTGTGTATCACGTGATCACTTTGACCAATCAGAGCGAGACGAGCTAGAGCGGAGCAGAGTGTAGCCGAAGCTAACGATTGTAAAATGTTTTTTAAGACAACTGAAGGATTTTGAGGTGAGAAAAAGTTCATAACACGAGCATTTTGTGATTACATTGCGCTCTATGAGAAAAATACTTTTTCGGCCCAGGGTTTTTTTTTTTCGCTGTAGTACCAGTGAGTGGCCAGTAGGTCATTTGGAAGCAGCTACAAGCCACAATACCCTGTCCAGTTATTTTAATAGTATTGTGTGTCCAGTGGCTCTGGCTGTGTCCTGTTTACAACACCACATACAGGTGTGGCAGATGTATTACATCGATTTCATTCAATGCTCCATTGGCGCCTGGATGTGAATATTTATTGATCCACTTGTGCGGACAAAATTTTTTTTCAACTTGCAAAAAAATAAAAAATAAAATAAATCCAGAAGCGTTGTCGTGTGGACATAGCCTTAGATCTTCTCTTTAACTGCGACATGATATTTCTCAATAATTTCAAGGTAATTTATCTTAAAATAACAAAATAAACCAGAAATTTATATATATATTTTTTTGTCATTTCAATTGCAATCTTCTAGTAGTAGTAATATTTCTTGTAGCGAGTGCCTTAAAGGTGGAAAAGCACTGTACAAAAATGTAAAAATCTTGCCATTTGAGCATTTTGTAGTAGTAGTATTAGTACTACTGTTAGTAGTAGTATTAGTACTACTATTAGTAGTAGTAGTAGTAGTAGTAGTAGTGATGTGTGTAACTTACGGAGCAGGTATTCAGCTGCATCCTGGTCATAGTCTGCGTCTTCAGGGAAATGGTTGATCTGTGAGCACACTCCACGGTTCAGACCTGCAGACAAACCAAAGGAGTGTGTCAAGTCAGTAAGTAAAGTAAGAAATAGTAATTTATGTTAAACTAACAAAGGGCTTAATGTGGAGATGTAAGTACTTTGGCTTGAAAGCTGCAAACCGCCATATTTGTTTTCCCACTTGGATGTGTCTGTTAACAAAGCCCATCTTTTCAAGTCTTTTGAAACATATTGCTTTTGTTTCTGGTGGTGATATTGTCATATTTTAGTTTTGGGATTTGGACATCGTAATTGTGTGGTTATTGGATATCCTAACAACGGAAAATGGCTTGAGAGATGGGCTTCAGAATCGGATCTGTGTGATTGCAAACCTCTGTTCAAACTGTTTCCCTTCCCAATCGAACTGAAAAATAGTGAAAGGTGAAGGCGATGGGCAGGATTGATCCACTGGAAGGACCAAAAAGGAAACCTCTTGGTCTCTTTGCAGTGGAAGGTGTTTCTTGGTGAACAGCTGGTGCCTTTCGCTTTGGCGTTGACTTTTAAAATTTGTAACCAAGGTGGAGTGAGGGACCGGGGTTTTGCTTATATGACAATATCAAAACAAGAAACAAAAATGATATGGCTCAAAAGACTAGAAAAGACTGGCTTCGGTAATAGATGCATCCCACTGGCGGTTTGATGCCCACTTTTTCGGAAAACCCTTCCCAGTATGCATTGTGCAATGACCGGATGTCCGAAAATCGTGATGCCTCTATTACTTTCTAAGATGTGAAAGTAAAGGTGTCGCTTTAAAAGAAGAGGTCATGTTTGTACTCAAAATTGCAACAATTTTCCAGGCAAGTCCTTCTAGCAGCAGAACATCCTGGTGTTATTGGTGTTATTTGAAATAAACTTTAAATTAAATACTGGAAATAGAGGTTGAAATCTGTTTTTCTGCTTTGTCCTAAAGCGGAATAATGAAGTAACAAACTGTTTTCCCATTTTATTGTTTTTCTTTCTTAATTGAAATTCAAAAGAACGAATGGTAAACGGTCCGCTGTTCTACATTATGAATTCAGAAACAAACCCCAAATCTATGGCATTGTACAAAACAGGGCTGCAGTCTCTCCTTTTGTCCACATGCTAATCCTGACCCATTTGTTGTTTATTCCAGAGACCACTCAGACCATCCGACGCTCCAAACATCAAATGAGGAAATGCATTTAGTGAGTCACGCATGAGTCACAGTGAAACTCTCCCGGAGCTCTGAGTACAGGTAGACCGGGCGATTTCTATGGTTTAAATATAGACTCAAATATACAGGACAGACTATACGGCAATAATACACCTCAAAGTGCCATATATAACTGGAAGAAATAATGACATAAAAATGGACGGTCATATTAAAGCATTGATTAAGTGGAATTCCATAATATTAAAGATGCACTGTGTAACATTTCTGGTGCAGGGTTCACTCATTGCTTGTTTCCAGGAGGATATTATATATTGCTTTGCCTGGAATGTGTCACAGTATGGTATAAGTTACAGGCCAGATCTATGGAGAGGTGACCATGCCCACAGTAAGAATGCATGTTTTGCAGGTGGCCCATATTACTCTATTTACAGATCTTTGTTTTGTAATGTTGTTTTCTCAACATGAACAGACCTGGAGTTGTGTTTTGTTTCATTCACACATTTAACACACAAACCCTGTAAATTTACACTGAGCTCTGAGTTCAGACTCAAAATACTGTTCCCCCTTGTGATGTCATGTGGTAATAATAATAAGTGCTCTACTGTGTATTTGGGGCTATGTTTACACTGAAATGAATCACTGTATCACTGTATCGGTAACAATCTGTGTCCAGACACGTTGTTTCTGTGTCTGCAAGCCTCCCTATCCACACAGCTTTAAACAAATTTGTTTATGTTTTACAGAAACAAAACTTAAAACCACATGGTCAATTTGCATAAACTGATTGCTCAAAAAACAACTCGCTCCTTGTGCGCTGATGCGGTTCAGCTTCTGTCAGACGAAAGGACACAACTCAGTGGAATATGAGTGTTCTTTCTGTGACAGGGGGGTGTTCTGCTGATGGTGAGTCTGCTCTGTGCTTCTATCGTGTTGGTGATGTTTCATATTAAACTTTTCAAGGATTATACATCTGCAGGTCATACACACAGACCGTATATATGAATGGACATATATTCTTGCCTCTTAGTGTTTTGGTGGTGAATTACTTCGCGGTGCATAGACCTACATCAGCATATCAGTGTTTTCAGGCGTCCACACAGTGCCAGATCAGATCTGTGCTCAGATGAATTTGTCGGAGCTGGTGGCCACCAGATCGTTCCGTCTCTGGAGCCTTTTTCAATCGGATTAGTGTGGACGAACACTGCATCCACAAAGAAAACGACTCAAATACATACTAGTGTGGACGGGGCCTGGATCATTTCAGCCCTGCCTTGCCAATCACTCTCTCTACTCTCTCTAATGAACGAAAGGTCGACTCAGCTCACACTACCACTGTCGCCTTGTTGCCGTTGTTTTTGATTTGTTGATCTGCGTTGAGATCTATACACCACAACGTCATTCACCGCCACAACACTAGGAGGCTAGGATTTAGAAATGGCGTTCGTGTATAGAAAATAAAGCAGAATACCGGATATGTATGTAGAGTGGTGGTAGAGAAGACCAATCACAGCCCTTATTGTCTGCGCAGGTTAGGTGCACATCAGTTGACGCAGACTCTCTGTGATTTCATGCATGACCATACATTTGGCTTTAAAGGTAGTTGTTAATTTGGTAATCTGGTAATCCACATGCACAAAAAGGTAAATTAAATTAAGAATCTAGCAAAAATAAATATTATAATTTTTCAATTTAGTTATAGTAAGAAATCAACACTATTCATGGGTTTCATCTTCTTATTTATAGGCATCATTTTAAGCACTTTTTACTTTTCAACGCTATTTTGAAACTGTTAAAGATGCACCAATCCACCTTTTTCAGTTTCAATACCAATTTTGATATTATAGCTTTAAGTATGCCCAAGACCGATACCACAGCAAAGTCTGAAAACTGCTTTTGTTTCCTAAAATAAAACAACACAAAACTGATCCAAATGTGTTATGTAGCTGCTATTTATCTCTCAAGAAACAAAACAACATGTAAGTAAAAGTTCAAACATGATCAAACTTTCTGGCCCTTCTTATTACATCACTTTATCTGTCTAACCAGGATATCGGCTGAACTGATATTTGGAAGCCAATATCCAATCCAGGGAGTTTTTCAGTATTTCCTCCAATATCCGTTACCAGTATCAGATCAGTGCACCCGTATCTGAAAGCCACGGTCAGGTTCATGTTGGTTCACTGGTATTGTATTCCGGAGTGTGTCAGTGGGTTAGTGGTGTGGAGGTTAGACAGTACAGGAGCAGAGTCAGGAGCCGGAGGAGAGCACGAGTAACATGAGCCCTCTGAGTGACGGATGTGGTTACACTGATCCAAATGACCTCCAGAACACAATGAAGATGGAGGGGAAGCACTCAGGGTTTGACACATAATGGTTGTCTCTAAAAAGTATTATTCTTAAAATGGTTTGATATTTGTAGTATATTAGGTCTCTAGATGTAAAGGGGCTGTCACACCTTAACGATTAAGTCAGAGTATGCCGACGTATGAAAACATTGGCAAATACGATGGAGTTCGTCAGATAAGTTATATGTGAGTTTTGTATAAGTTATGAGCACACTGAAGCACGGTGGCCTACGTCTACCAGGACTAAACCAGGACTAAACCAGGACTAAACTAGGTCTAAATCAGGATTAAACCAGGACTGAAACAGGACTGAATCAAGTCTCAACTAGGTCTAAACCAGGACTAAACCAGGGCTAAGCTGGGACTTAACCAGAACTGAACCAGGACTAAACCAGGACTGAACCAGGTCTAAACCAGGTCTAAACTAGGTCTAAACCAGGACTGAACCAGGACTGAAACTGGACTGAACCAGGACTAAAACTGGACTAAACCTTGTCTAAACCAGGACTGAACCAGGACTAAAACTGGACTGAACCAGGACTAAAACTGGACTAAACCAAGATTGAACCAGGACTAAATCAGGACTGAACCAGGACTGCACCAGGACTAAACCAGGATTGAACCAGGACTAAACCGAGACTGAACCACGACTAAACCAGGATTAAACCAGTACTGAACCAGGACTAAAACAGGACTGAACCAGGTCTAAACTTGGTCTAAACCAGGGCTGAACCAGGACTAGACCAGGACTAAAACTGGACTACACCTGGTCTAAACCAGGACTGAACCAGGACTGAACCAGGACTAAAACCGGACTGAACTAGGACTAAAACAGGACTAAACCAACTGTAAACCAGGACTGAACCAGGACTAAAACTGGACTAATCCAGGATTGAACCAGGATTAAATCAGGACTAAACCAGGACTGAACCAGGACTGAACCAGGACTAAACCAGGACTAAACCAGGACTGAACCATGACTAAACCAAGACAACTCCAGGTCTGTTTGTGATGAGGAAACAACATTATAACAAAGATCAGAAACCCCACAAGACCCCATACGCTGCTCCCTTACCCTCCAGACAGCAGATCCTCCAGAGCCCAGAGTGCGTGAGGGCCCCGGGGTCCTTCTTGTCCTTGTTGGAGTTGGAGTCGTCCTGGGTGGAGTTGGCGGTGCTGTTGCAGATGAAGGCACGGGCGTACAGCCAGTAGTCCGTTCCTATGGCAACGGTCATGAGGGCGAAGGCGGCGAAGGCTCCCATGGTGGTCAGCAGCACCTGGATGCCACGCTCACACCACACCAGGGCCGGGCGGGGCAGGAAGCTGAGGTCTGAAACAACAAACACACGTATATGAACTTTAGGTTATGGTCATGCTCTAGAGGAGGTATTTAATTACAGCCTGAGCAGTTAAAATATATTTCACAACAGAGAGAAATAAAACTTTACAATATTATTATAGATGGAAATTAAGGATGCACCATGTAACTTTTCTCATGGGGGCTCATATTTTACAAAGTGGCTCCCGTCAGATTGATATGTGTGTTACTGAACTGAGTTCTACACATTATGAATCTTGAACGGTTCTCAATGAAAGATTAGAAAACACAGAGCGTCATGGTGACTATTTGAATCTGATTGGTTGAAGCTTCCCAACAGAGGAACAAGTCGAAAAATCAAGCTTTAGTTCCATCCAGTTGAGAGAAAAGCACAGACATCTCCCCTGTCCATTAATGCATAAAGTGCTTACCTTCTGCACTAACTAAATAGTCTGTATTGACACTAAAATCGTCTGAAGTATACTTGGCCAAAAAGAAATGCAAGTTCTATTTGTATAGTGTTATAATATATATATATTTATAATAACAATGTTGAAAAAAAGGCAGAAAAATGTTCAGTAGCGTGTATGGTCGCCCCTAGCTGCAATACAAGCCATGACCCTTCTTGTCATGGACTGTTCCAGGTGTCGAATGCGGAACTGTGGCATCCTTCTCCATTCTTCCACCAGTCCTGCCCGTTGTGACTCGTGGTCTGCCGCACTTCCTGTATCCATGTACCGAGTCCTCAGACAGGATATGGTACTCTCGTGCACATAGAGAGCTGCAGCCACTTCTTAGATACGCATCCCCGCATCCAGCATAATGATAGCACGACCCCTCTCCAGATCAGACAAGTGTAGCATGAAGTCGCCATGGATTCCAAGCTCCAAAACTTGGTTTTCTGATGCAAAAGTCCACAAAGAGTGATTCCTGACAACTTTTACGTGCAGTATTGTTGTCCGATTCGCAGTACGTCTGAGCTGTCTGGAAATTTAAAGCCAGTCATTGTGTGGAATCAGTCAAGCTTAGCAAATCTCTACCGATGTCCAGAGATCGTGTTTCTTCTTTGATTACAGTAATAGGCCCAACATTTACAGTTAGGGGCAATTTTGAATCACCACAATAATAACATAAACTTGCTTGTCTTTTTTGGCCAAGTATACATCTGTCTGTGTTGCCATGTTTTGGTTCATTTGGACACCTCCCCTTTGACTTCTACACAAACCTCGGTGCTGTAACGTGATTGGTCACCCACCACCTGCTGGGCCCTGTCACACCAGTGGGGCCAAGATGGATTCTCGTGACTTTGTGAATTTACAAATATCACGAGAATCCATCTTGCTGTGTGAGGTTACTGCTTGTGTCCACAGAGATGTCACTGACTTATTGACCTACATGGAGACAAGTTTTTTGAAGACAAGTATTTTGTCTGTTAAAAAATATTCTTATTTATTTATTTATTTATTTGATTGGGACAGAGCATGTTAATGGACAAACATGACACAACATGAATATAAACACACTGGATTACAGTCTAAGGCTAATTTCCATCCATTGTTCCAAGGGGCTGGGGTCACAGGGGGCCAGACAATAAAATATTGTACACTCCACTCATTACACAGTTCCCATTATTGTACACTGCACTTATTCATCATAGGCCTGGCTCCAAATTTGCTCCTGTTACCGTTAGTATCGCAAGCTTCATTTGACTGGATTTGACTGAAAATTATGGGTGGCGTTACATTGGCTTAGTCCACTTCTTTATAAAGTCTATGGTATTGGCGGTAAAATAAGCTGAAATACGTCTGTCTGTGTCTCCATGTTTGTTTTCATTCATTTCATTTGGGAGCTTCTCCTTTGGCTTCTGTGCAAACCTCAATGCTGTGACGTGACTGATCTGACAACCCAATTAACCGTACAGCGTATGCATGCCGAGGTGGATTCCTGTGAATATGGCACTGGCATGGCAACAGCATTAAACGTATCAGCCTGCATAGAGACAAGTAGATCACGTGATCAGACAAAGTTCGAGATCAGGTTTGTGGAGACGTGAACCCACTCACAGCAAGACTAATGACAAAAAAGCTGAATGAACATTAAAGGGACAGTTTGGAATTTTGGACATAGAGCCTCATTTCCTAGTGAGCCAGAGTGTTGGAGACATGTGGATACACTTTTTGAAATATGCCATTCAGTCCTTGTATTTGCACTAGCCTAGCACCAGCGACCTCTGTAAATACAAGGACTGGATCTAATATTTCAAAAAGTGTCTCCACACTTCTCCAAAACTCTGGGTCACTAGGAAATGAGGTCCTATGTCCAAAATTCCAAACCCTTTAAAGCCATACTGAGGAACATTCTGGGCAAATCAATAGGTAGGATCACCCACTAAGGTAGCCTGATTCATCAGCCGGTTTCACTTCGTGGAAACCGTCTGACCTCACAGCATTAAGATTTGTTCGCTCAATGGTAGGGGAGTACTTTTTTATTTTATTTAACCAATCATTGCTATTTGGTCGTGACGGATGTAATGTGCTGCTAACGGGGTTAACTGGTATATTAAGCTTTTCCCAAATCCATATCCCCTTGATAAAATTCACCAAACATTCTCTTTGTTCCGGCATTAAATCCTCGATCTCAAGAATCACTGCCAACACAGAATGTATGTCTTCATCTACATCCATCTCGACCGCTTTACTGTTGTGCTGGACCACAAAAGGGACCCAGCCATTGCTTCACAGCTCTTTGCTGATTGGCCGGTGTGCAGTCTACAACTTCTGGCATTCTTGCAAACCGTCTAGTGCAGGGGTGCTCACACTTTTTCAGCATGCGAGCTACTTACAAAATGACCAAATCATAATGATCTACCTAATACAAAGCCAAGCAAACTGCACTGAAACACTCTGTGCCCCTTTTCTGGACCCTCACCCACAGTTTGAGAACCCCTTCTTTAAGAGAACTTCCTCTGGCACTTTACACAAAACTGTGAAAAAAGTGAAGGAAGATTTTTAAACCTGTTTTTAAAAGTTCCAAACTGGAGTTGCATTCTTTTCTGGTTTTGCAGTGATATTTACCAGCCTCTGCACATTTACCAAACCAAACGCACATCGTGACAAACACAGATGCATTTGTGCACTTTTGTTAGACAAACTTCAGCCAAATGTGGCAGTAGGTCTGTTCTGTAGATCTGCTCTATGCTGTAGACCTGCTTTTTGCCAACACTGGAACACAAATTTAGACTCGTTTTTGCTTCACGTTTGGTCTTGCTCTTCTAATCAGCCGCACTGTGGGAGGGGCTTGTGTTCGCTGTACGCAGGAAGGAGCGAGAGCGTGAAAAGGCGAGGGGCGGCGTGCTGACGTGAGGCAGATGGACAGGTAGGATGTTTAGGAAGTTGAACCTGCCCTGTGATGCACGCTGGTACACGAGGGCACACGCTGTTGCAGACGAGCCGTGCATAGGGAGCGTGTGTGTGTTTGTGATGTGCCGTAGAGTCTCCGCGGGTTTCAAATGAGCGCACAGGCTGCACTGAGACGCCCCACACGCTCCTGCACCCCGCTACAAGTTTATTACCAACAGCAGCGGCCGTAATGAAATATGATCGCACTTGTTGAGTGTCAGACCTCGAGTGAGAGACAAGACCGAGTCCAAACGCGAGTCCGAGACGAGACACGGCGATCTACCCACACGACCTTGGCGATCGACTGGTAGATCGCGATCGATGTATTGAGCACCCCTGCTCTAGTGTATTCCAATTCCTGACCTAGTCGCTGGAGAGAAATGAAATTGAGCGGAACACTAGGTGGCGCCAGTAGCTACCACTCGGGACCCTCCAGTAGAAAAGTTACATAGTGCGCCTTTATACTACTACCACTACTAATACATCTAGTTTGGTTACAGCGCTCACACTCATCATCTCAAAGCGCGGCGGTTTGAGTTTTGCTTGGAGTTCTGCGTCCTGTTGTTGTGTCCTTAAGCAAGACACTTCAAACAGCTCAAACAGTCTCATAAAATACAACAAACACACTAGAGTCTTTTAGTATTTCCATTTCCCAAACTTCTCCCATCCTTATTTGAACCTGTTGGAGATAGATCGATAATTTTACTCAACGCCTACAGCTCTGAAAACTCCTGATGTATTTCCTGTATTTTTCAGAGTTGTCTTGTCCCCTGCAGGCCTCCGTAGTCTCGTCTGTTTGTGTGTGTATGTGTGTGAGGGGCGTTGCGGTCTCTCTTTAATAAAAACAGTTGGAGCCTGGAGCTTTTGGCAGCTGCAGATGAACAAAAAGTATGGACCCCGAGCATCAACAGGAACAGAGCGTCTCCAGTCCACTGAGCAGAACAGAAGAGGAACACTGCGGAGGGCCTCGTTTCATACTTTGACTTTTTATAATCGTGATTAAATAAAGCAGCATGTCCCTTACAGGCTTACGTAAGAGTCATCTGATTAAAAAGAGGTACAGTCACACCACTCACTGTAAGGACTATTATTAGTGGCATTTATGGGTAATTAAAATAAAAATCTAGTTTAATTTAAGTCTGTTTATTTATTGTTACAAATGTTTCACCGTGGGGCTTTAATCTGGTTTAGTAGCCTAAAGGTTCTATATGTTCACACTTGCACAATTAGGACTAAACGGGTAATAAATATAGAATTAGACCAAGGGCTAAATCAGGACTAAATTGGACTAGACAAGGAACAAACTAAAACTAAACCAAGACGAAACCAGGACTAAACCAGGATCAAACCAAAACTAAACCAGGACTAAACCAGACTTGACCTGGACTAAACCAAATAAGACCAGAACCAAACCAAGACTAAACCAGGACTAAATCAGAACTAAACCAGACTAGACCAGGACTAAATCAGACTAAACCAAAACTAAAGAGGACTAAACCAGGACTAAACCAGACTAGACCAGGACCAAACCAAGACTAAGCCAGGACAAAACCAAGACTAAACCAGGATCAAACCAAGACTAAGCCAGGACTAAACCAAGACTAAACCA